GACAGAGATGTCCATTTGGGTGGAATGAATATAGATACCGCGGGAGAACAGCCATTCATACGCGTGGAGCGGGGCTCCGATTTCGCCGACAACCTGCACGAGGACTTCTTTCCCAGGACATTCCCTAGGCTTTTCCCGTGGGGAAGAGGAGGACCTAAAGCAACACGCAGCACGGGACATCGTCAGCAATATACGTCAGAAAACGTCGGAAATCCTACCCTAAACCACTCGCTCACATACTGGGCCAAGTATGTACTCCAGCGACACGGTGGTCGGTTTGCCACGCATCCGGTGTTCAGTTTTCTTGTTTTTAACATTCTTCTCCGATCATCCAACCGCCGCATAAGCATGGTCCGCATGGCGAAGGGCTCTTTCAATCGAGCCGAGCAGGTCTGTCAGACCCTGACAGCAGAACAGCTGAGATTGGCCGAGGTCGAGATGCGCCGGGACAAAGTGACGACAGATAAAGATGTATCGTTTCTACTGCGCGAGCTATCCATATTTGGTTATGCCCAGCCTCTATCGAATGAGACTCGCCTGCTGATGCGGAGAAAAATACAGTCACTTATTATCTGGACCGGCACCCCTGCGATTTGGTTCACAATCAACCCAAACGACATTAATAACCCCGTCAAGATGAAGCTCTCAGTACACAGGCTGCATGACCGTGATGTGGCGGAAGATTTCCTAGCAGAAGCTCGCGGGCGGTTCGACAAGATCGCTCTCAGCACCCTGGATCCGGTCAGCTCCGTCATCTTCTTCCATCGCGAGATTTCCCTATTCTTCGAACACTACGCCAAAGCCGGCAAGGAGTCAGTTTTCGGGAAAGTCAGTCACTATTATGCTACAGTGGAAACAAACGATCGAGGTAGTCTACACTTGCATGGGCTGTTCTGGCTCCACGGAAATCTAGAGCTACCATCGCTTTGTGACAGCATGGCCGATCCCCAAGAGGATGAGTACCGATCTCATGTGATTCGTTACGTCGACTCCGTCTTTCACGAGTGCCTAGACGAGAAGGCTGGGAGGACGATGCGGAAGGAGAGAAAGCCAATCGACCCTGTCAAGGACATAATGATAAGCACCGAGGCTCTTACTGCGGCCTTTGAAGACGAAGCCAATTACATTGCATACTGTAGCCAGGTACACTCCCACACATTTACCTGCATCAAGTATTCTCTGAAGGGCCTATCTAGCCAGGACACAGATGCACATAAGCGTACCGCATGCCGATTCAAAGCCCCCTGGAAGATCGTCGAGGAGACGGGCTTCGTAGAGGACGGCCTGCTTAGGATCCGACGCAACCACGCCTTGGTTAACCGACATAACAAGGCAATGGCGGTCGGGCTCCGCCACAATCATGACATCTCGTTGATCTTGACAAGAACCAAGGGGCTCGCAATGGTCTTTTACATCACAAATTATGCCACTAAGCTAGATACGCCGATGTGGAAACGCATTGCCATTGCAGGCGAAGTTTTGGGACAGCTATACCAGTCGGCGGATGGCCCGTATCAGACGCCAAGTTCTGGCCCTGGTATTCAACACCCGACCGTTCTCAACCAGACCCGCCAGTTTCTGATGAGGGCGGCAAACCGAATATTCTCAGAGAGGCAGCTCTCGTCAGTGGAGGTCTGTTATCACCTGCTCGGTTACCACACGGACTTTACCAACGTGCCCCAGTGGTCTTTCATAAACTTGACCGCCCTGTACTGGTCCATATTCAGACGATGGCGGCATCTACGTAGCCTGTCTAGAGAACACGCCGACGTAGACGACCCACCTGAGACCATCGGCCTCAGAGACAGCGGCAGGACATTACTGTACTTGGATGCCTACGCCCGCCGGGGTCCAATACTGAGAAGTCTATGCCTATATGATTACATGTCTATGGTTAGCCTCGAGCGTTGCCGTGGTCGAGAAGAGGATGAAGCCCACATCTCTCTCGACGGCCTCCTTCCGGAGCCAGATGGTTGGTTACAGAAGCTCCGGGGGCCTCCTGAATATACGGTACCCATCTTCCAAGGATATATCAGCGATGATCACAACGACGAGCACCCGGTCTACTTCAGGCGGTAAGCGTCCCCCGGACATCCAAACATGATGATTCGCAGCCGGTACTAATCTGCCTAGGAACTCTACTCTCCACCTGGCTCTATTCGTGCCATGGGAAGACTTCCTTGCCAAGGCCGATGGAGACATTACGGACATTTGGACAAACCACGTTGCCGCACTCCCACCGCGATTGCGATCCCACGTCTCCAATATCTCTCTTCTGAGAAAATCGGCAGAGGATGCGCGCAAGGACGCAAAGCTCTGGGCAAGCCGGTCGGAAGGTGATGACACAGTCGACACGGAGTTCCCACTTGACGAGGGCAACCATGCTGAAGAATCTTCGACAACAGCTGAGCATAAACAGAATTACACCGCGCTCCTCCACATCCTGCAAAATGCTGTAGCAGACTCGGCAGCAACGAGACGCTCGCCGGTACTGCAAGCCTTGCTCCGGGACCTGCGTCATGAAAACCCAGCAGAGGAGCAATGGTCCTTTGTGCAGCGTCCCCGGGGTTTCTATGACCAAATTTGCCGTTCCCAGAAAAGCTCACTATTCCAGTATCCAGCTCTCTCTTACGAAGATGTGCAAGCAGCGGCAAAGGCCCAAGGTATGCTGCATCTCCGCATGCTCGATGAAATCGAGAGTGGTCCTCAATCGGCGCCAGGCACGATGGGAACCGAGGACTTGGATGATATACTTGTTCGCCACTGTGACGCAGACGTTCCCATTCCAACTCGGTGTCTAGGGTTGGTCAACTATGGCCCTCGGATGGCGGTCGACGTCAATCATACAACAGGCTTTTCGGAAGTGGGACGCGCTGCCGCATTGTCGTTTACCCTCAACCCCCTCCAGACAATGGCCCTTCAACTTGTGTGCAAATTCTTAGATCGATACGCTGCTGACCCTGAGTCTGCCGGCCAGCATCTTCAGTACACCGGAGGTCCTGGAGGAACCGGCAAGTCCAGAGTTATCGACGCCCTGAAATGGGTATTCTCGACGAAGGGCCAATCACATCTTCTTCAGATCACCGGCACCTCGGGAAGCGCGGCGGCCCAGATCGGCGGCACAACCCTACATTCCGCTTGTGGGCTGGAAACTCATCGCTCCTCCCAAGCACAACTCCCGATTTTCTCCGAAGCGAAGAAATGGACGTGGAAACAGAAGTTAGTTCTCGTGGTCGATGAAGTGAGCATGCTTGGAGGCGCCACTTTGTACGAGGTCAGCCGCAATCTCCAGTCACTCCGGGACACCGCCGATAAGCCATTTGGAGGGATTCCAGTAGTGCTCCTGATGGGGGACTTCTACCAGTTCGCTCCAGTTCGTGAGACGAGTCTCCTGGTCAATAAAATGATAGACCCTTCTACAACGCTATTGGGACAAGGAATCATCTCGCACCACCGTGGCTTCGGCTTGTGGCAGATGTTCAAGACAGTGGTCCTTCTCAAAGAACAGGTTCGTGCACGGGATGATCCTCGCCTAGGTGCCCTGCTCGATAGAATACGGGCTGGGGTTCAGACACATCAAGACCTTCTCATGCTCAACTCAAAACTTGTCCGTCGAGACCAAGTCAGCTTCAGTACGGGATTACGTGCCATAACGCCGCTGAACCGAAACCGCTGGTCACTTAACATGGAGGCCGTCGTTGACTGGGCTCGGTCTCACAAGAGACATATTTCCATCTTCATCTCCGCGCATACCTGGCGAGGTGGCTCTCTCTCAGAAGACCAGATGGCAAGGACTATCGAACTAGGAGACGACTCCAGCTGCAAAGTTCCCGGTGTATTCTTCTACGCCCAAGACATGCCCGTGGTTGTAAATCAAAATATTTACACCGGACTCAAGATCGTCAACGGGGCTGAGTTTACCACCTATGATTTCGCGCCTGATCCGAGATACCCAGGTTTCCACCTGGCCGATGATGTGACAATCCACTTCGGACCACCACTCGGCATACTTTTACATTCGAAGGACATCAAGAGCCTATCCATACCAACCCTTCCGCCGGGGACGGTGCTTGTCCGCTCGGTGTCGCAGACCCTCGATCCGACTAACCGCAATTATAGGTTTCTGCCTGCAAAGTGCGCCCGCCGCGGCCTGCCTGTTGTACCCGCATTTGTACTCACGGATTATAAGGCTCAAAGTAAGACGTTCGCGGAAGTTCTTCTTGAGCTGCGAGGGAATCGTGTCATCAATGGCGAGCCATCTAAGTGCGACTTCACCAGCCTCTATGTGCAGCTATCGAGGTGCAGGACACTGGATGGCATCAAGCTCCTCAGTCCCGTGCGTAGTCAGGATTTTATCGGGAACAAAATGGACCATTCCATCGTCGAAGCGATGCAAAGACTCTCAGATCTCGCCGCAGAAACGAAACGCGCCTACGAAGGCCCTGATACCGGACAATGGTAACGATGAGATTAAACACAGACATCTTCCTATAATTCATCCTATGACCTGATTTCCGCTAATCATCGTGGTCTTCCTCGCCGTCTTTGTCAACCCATACCTGCTCTGTTGTCTTTCACCAATGAGATCAAAGATCCAGCCACATCACATCCACTAGATGGTTATTAATGCTATTCCCAATCAAAATTTGATACGCGACAGCGTCTCTTGAATTATTTTCTCTTGAATATGTTCTCTTTACATCTCTTCATAAAATAGTCGTCTCACAATCGTCATCTTGGTTTCAACAACTCTCTTTCCGTAATCCAGAAAGTCTCGTTCCGAAAGGCCTGCTGGCGGGCCCCGTAGGGGGCCGGTCTCCTGTTCTTTCTTCCGCGCCCTCCTTCGTTCAATCGTCTGCGCCACAACCCGTGCGCCACCGTTTGCGCCACCGTTTGCGCCATGCCAGCCGCTTCGTCCTATTCCCTTGGACGGCCACCCGGCGCCTCTGTAGATCTTGATTATCTGCTAAAATAGATTTACTGATATCATATATCCAACGCTACGGCTTCACATTCTCCGAGCGCGCCATTTCGTGGAGGTGGCTCTGATTCTGTGGCTCGCTACTTTTCTCCTGGTCTTGCAGACCCTTGTTTGCGCTCTCATCAGCATTACTAGAGTCTGGCATGGGAGCTCTTGGATGAGATATACTCTCCCGGCGTGGGTGTTGGGTTCCGGTTTTGATTTTTCCAATATCGGAACCCCTCTGGGCTTGCGAAAGGGCAAAGTCACCAGAATCGAAATACCTTCTTTCCTATATACAGTTAATACTATACCAGAATAAGGCCAAGAGATAAATAAGACCAAGAGATGATTAGGAGGGTACTTTAGGTGAAGCACATATATACGTACATCCAACTGATGGTTAAGGAGATCTCGACGTGGTGTCCTTCTATAAATTTCTTGGAGGCGCTCTGCTCTGTTATTAGGCTTCTGGCCTCGGGGAGTGTTAGGTATTTAGCGCTTTATTGGAGAATAAGGATATATACTTACTTGCCTCACAATGTCCTTTTGTCTGGGATTCCATTGCAGGATATATGGTGCTGTACTGAGACGGGACTGGTAAACGCCACTGGTTTAATATATATAAAAGCAAATATATATACGGTAGTTTCCCTTGGGGAGAATAAATTATAATGCTTATCTACGGTCATAATACATTGCCACCCCCCTTCCCCCCCACATCCTCGGTAAGCGCTTATCGATCGTGGAGGGGTCATTCAACTCACGTCATAATCCATCTAAGCTTGCTGACATGTGAAACTGATGTTATAGTCCGCCATAAGTGCTGATATCCAATGTATGACTGCTGATGGTTGGACTCCACTATTACTAGCCGCGGAAAACGGGCATGGTTAGAGTAAAATGGCTAGGGCGAGAGGTGGAGTTGGCGTTGGTTAGCAAAACAACTTGACGTTTGCCTCACGTCATCAGCATGTCAACCACACAGAATGTAAGAAGGAAATTATAAACCAGGAGCAATTGGACCAGGTGATAAGTTTTTGACAGTACTACAATCCAACAAGTCTGTCAATATCTTTTCAAGCGGTCAAGAGGACACCATCTCGGCAATATGAATCCACGCCAGACTTTTCGTATCCTCATTATCAACCCCAACTCCTCAGAGGCAATAACTGCGGCGATAGTAGCAAGTATAGACAGAATGCAGTTGGGCCATGTGCGAAACCGCCTGGAAACACACGTCAAAGGGACCGACAAGCTGACCACAACTATAGTCCATGGAGCTCAGTGCCTATACAACGCCACAGCCATCTCCGTTAAGCATAACTAGCTACAGCGACATCAAGATGAGCGAAGAAACTGTCTACTCGAGAATATCAAAAGATGGCCCTACATTAGCTCACTACGATGCTGTCCTCATCGCCGGCTTTGGTACCAAATCTCTAGTTTCAAAATTGTCCAATCTTGGCCCTGAATGTATCATGGGGGTCTTTGAAGCGAGCATTTTAACGGCCCAGACACTACTACGCCCAGATAGTAATGACAAATGGGGAATTGTCACACTGGACCACTTCTGGGAGAGCTATCTTATGGTTGAAGTTAAGTCATTTCTGGGTCAGGACAAGAATAGTAATAACGACAGATTCGCCGGTGTCTTCTCAGCGAAATCGTATAGCCCCGATCCAAATACCATTTCTCAAGAGGATATGAAAAATGGTATAAGGGAAGCAACAGGGCAATTACTTCAGTCAAGTTCGGCTCGATGCGTGGTTATAGGTTGCATAGTAACGGCCGAATTAGAGGACATCGTCCGCTCTACCGCAACCGAGTTCTTAGGGAAGCGCATGGGCGAGGCTCTGTATGTCATTGACGCCATCAAGGCAGGCATTTTGCAAATACAACAAATGGTTCGTTGCAGAGATACTTTCAAATAGCGAATGTTTCTGGGAAATGGATATGCCTTGAGGAAGGGCTTCATAATAGACGTACTTGTATCAGGCTCACTCTTTCACGAGACAAGCGTCTTGTTCCTAAGCTCTTAACTCGTCCCGAAAAGGCGTTGGCGGTCCCTAAAGGGGGACCGGTCTCCTGTAAGATTGTTGCACGTAATGTATCAAAATATTAATGTTCTTCAAACCCTCCCTAAATCAAGATGTTCCAAGAGAAGCCCAGCACTGGTAAACTGTGTGAATTAGCTGTGGTACTGGGGTTTCGAGTCTCCACCATATACGATCGGACATATCGATATACTATCAAATTTATCGACATACTATCAAGTCTATCGATATACTACCAAATTTATCAACATACTACCAGATCTATCGACATACTATCAAACTTATCGACATACTACCAAACTTATCGACATGCTATCAAATTTATCGACATGCTATTTCAAATTTATCAATATGCTATCAAATTTATCGACATGTGATCGGACCTATCGACATGCTATCAAATTTATCGTAGACATGTGTTCAAGCTTGGGGATATATGATAGCAACTCTACAAATTCCGTAGCAGGAACGACTAATTTTTATTTTTTCCCTTTTCTGACTATACTCTCCGCTTCATATGCGAATACGGCTCTCTCTTCAAAGAGAGGACATCGTTCACAAATGAGGAATAATCCGGTTTAGTTGCCTTTAAACCTCAGTGCGGTAATTCTTGACAGGAGGGTCAGGTTGGAAGTAACCCCTTTCGTGATATAAAGGACTAACAATGTTAGTAATTATCTATCCATGGAGAACTTCACCTACTTACATGTTCCTTCGCTAGTCAAGGTTTGTCCGATCGCATGTCTATAGGCTTGAATATATATCTACATATTTTCTGTTTATAATTTATTGATCTTATAAATTCTGCAGATGAAAAACGCTTTCCGCCCCCCGGAAGATTAATTACCTCTCTTGGCCCTTTCCCGAGCTCGACCAGAGGTCTTAGTACCTTGAGTTGACGGGCCATTTCTCTTCTGGCTAGAAGCTTGAACGCCGTCCGCATCAGTGGGCTTCACATTATAAACATTAATGTATTTATATTATTTATTTTATTAGTATTGCTGCATGACCACAGCTGCAGGTCTCGCAAGGCTATGAATGCAAGTCTCCACAGAGTCGGGATGTTACCCTTTGGCCGTTGTAGGATGGTGACCTGAAATAGGCCATGAACCTATCCAAGAAGCAGGAAGCAACACTGAAACAACTGCCATTGCCGGATTCTTGTAATTTTTCATCAAGCACCGGAGTGAATGTATGCCGCCCACGAGCTGTCATGCCCAAAGTCGGCCCGAAGTTGCAAAAGGGCACTGCGCAAAGCTTCTGCTACAGCCCGGTTCGAAAGTTGGGATGCTCCGTTTTGGATCAGATGCTCATAGAACAGCCTAGCAACGTCGACACAGGTGCCGTCTTCGGCTGACCAAAGGGAGCCAATGACGTGTCCAAAGCCTGCGACCTGGAAAGCACTGGCAATGTGAATGCCTTCATCGGAAAGACCGTCTGCCTGAACGGCCGCAGTGGAGCAGGCAGAGAGATATGCAATCATGGCAAGCCCGCGTGATTTGGCCTTTGTGATCTTTGCCACCGTAAGCCGATCCACGACAGTTGCAGACCCGTGTCTCCTTTGGAGCAGGAGGTGGCTCTCGGCCGGGTTGGAGGGATGCGAGACCCCGTGGCAGGCGAAGTGGACAATGTCTGATCGCCCTAGACGGCTCATGACCTGCTCTACCGTGGGACTGTTCAACGAGTGGCAGGGCTTGGCAGCTTTCCAGGCCGTCTCAACGGCGAGCCTCTCGCGTTCCACGCCGTCTAGCCGGCTCTCGCCTGGTGTTTCCGGCATCGTGACAATGAGGATCGAGGCTTGGCTCAGAGCCATGTCTTGAATGCTCTTCGAAACTACTCTTCTGGAATGCTCGAGGGCATTTATTGTTGGCGTGTATGACGGGATGATGCGGTCCAGCGTGTTTTCCACAGTAGAGTCCTGCTGCGTATAGATGCCGGCCGCATGGAAGGGATATGCACTGGCTGCACCTGTTCCAATCCACCAGACGCGATACATCTCGCCTGATGTCCGTTGAAGGCTTGAATCTATTTCGTCCAAGACCAACTTGACGCAGTTTGACCACAGCCGCGATAGAAAAGCGGCCTGGTCCCGTCTTCGAGTCGCGCTCGCTACGTCTCGATAATTGGCCATGTTGCCGGCATCGAGTCTGTACAACGTCGTCTGGGCAGGCTCAGTGATGGATATTTTGGGCAGCCGGAGATGCCTGATGCTCCGTTTCCTCGTCTTTATACGCTTCCCTTTCTGCAGCCTCTTCACGGCCCGTTTGGACAGCTCGATACCCTCCGAGAGGATGATGATAGCATCAGCCGCAATGTCCGTGACGTTTACCACGACGACTGGACCTTCGTCGGCGCAGGCCGTCAACTCCTCAATGCTGGGTTTATCGAGGAATCCCTTCAGACTTGTCTGACTGCGCACTCTCTCGATGCACCAATCCAGATCCTCGATTGCCTGCCTGCGCTCTTCAAGCATCTTCTGTCGAACCGCAGGATTCGTCTCGTTGATCGGGAGATTCGCCTCACGACGGTACTTCTCGTACTCGTCAGCCAGCGCTGGATTCTGGGCTTTCAACTCGGACACATCACTGCGTCTGTCAAACATATATCGCAGAATCAGGCCTCGCCCAAACTCCAGCTCTCGAAGGGCGTCCTCTACCTGTCCTCTCTTGAGCAAGAGGGAGCAGGCCTCGGCAGCAAGCCCCGATGTCTGCACCACGGCATATTGTTGATCTTCAAGCCCCACGAAGCGGCTGCACACTTCGGGTAAGAGTCCAAGCGCATCTACAGCCAGCTCTGTGGCTCTCTCCCACTCCTCGCGGCTCTGCAGGATGCGGATGGCTTTTCGGGCTCCTTCTATGCGATCCAGAGGAGATGACTGCGTGCACTTGATTGAGCTTTCAAAACAGCCGAGGGCTTCGTCTAGGTGATTCGTATAGCCCGTCTTCTCATACTGGCATCGCAACTTGTTGCCCAGGCTGATCAGCACACCTGCCCGGCCGGGATGGTCGTCCAAAGTCAGTTCCAGAGCGTCAAGGGCCAGTTGGAGCGCCTCCGTAAGATCTCCAGGTGCCCCTTGCCGCTTGTATCGAGTCTCAAGATTCTCTCCAAGCCTTTGAAGTCGTTCTGCCCGCTGAAGATGCTTATCCGGAGTCAGCTCAACGACATCCCGGCCGAGCCGGATTGCTGCCTCGAGATCTTGCATGTCGTTGGACCGTCTATAACGGTTTGCATGCTGACCTGCCAGGTTGTCCAACCAGCTTGCCCGCTCGATGTGGTCGGGCGGGCTCTGCTCAACTGCTTTCTGCAGGCGTTGAATCACGTCCTCAAGCCCTTCAGAATTCCCAGTTCGTTCGTATCGGCGTTGAAGCATGTTCCCAAGGTCGCCCAAAAAACGTGTCTGGCTGTACCCACTGCGAGGTGCCAACTCAACGGCTTGCCAAAGGAGTTTGATTGCCTCTTCCAAGTCTCGAGCCTGTCTTGTTCGTTTATACTGGCCCTCGAGCATGATTCCCAGCGTCCTCAGATGGCGTGCCCGCTGAAAGTGCTTTTGCGGAGTCAACTTGACGGCGTCTCGACAGTCTTCGATCGCCATGTCAAGGAACATGGCATCCCCCGTCCGATCATACCTTCTTTTCCTCTTGATTCCGAGATTGTTCATTAATTCAGCCGTGTACTTATGTGCGTCGGGGATAGCATCAAACGCCTCTTGATTCCAGCTTATTGCTTCCTCAAGGGCTGAATCCTCTCCTGTCTGTTCGTATCTGGTATAGAGCATGTTTCCTAGATTATTTGGGAACCACGCCTTGTCCCATCGGTCATCGGTGGTCAGGTCGATGGCTTGCTGAGTGAGCCTGATACCCTCCTCAAGGTCTTGCCTCTCCCGTGTTTGCTCGAATCGGCTGTGGAGCAGTGTCCCCAAACTTGCCAGAGGGATTGGGTGTCCTTGAGCCATTTCAAAGGCTTCCCGGTTCACCTGAATGGCTTCTGCCAAGTCTTCCATGTCCTCTGTCTGTTCAAAACGCCCGACCAACCATCTTCCAAGGCTGATCATGGCAGTTGTCCGACCATCGTCGTCGTCTCGCTCCAAACTCACACGGAGTGCTTGCCGCGCCGATTCGACCGCGTCCATGACATCTTGCGGATCCCCCTGCCATTGATACCGCCTTCCAAGCGCATTCGACAGGCAGTCTAGCCAAGTCTGCTGATCACGGTGGTCTGGTGCAATCGCGAGAGCGTGTCTAGTCAGCCTGATTGACTTGTTGAGGTCTTTGGCAGATCCTTCGTGGTTGAATCGTCTTAGAAGCCGGCGCCCGAACAGGCCGAGATCAAACGGGTCCAAGGTCTCATCGTCAAAAGAAATCTCCAGCTCCCATTCATCCACATCGATTTTGATGGGTTTTTCCTTTCGCCCCATGTTCAGTCTGTAAGTTTACAGGAAAATTTTCGACGGAAAAAGAAAAAAGAGAAAAAGAGAAAAAGGAACAGCCGTTGTAAGTGAACGTGCTGAATCTGATGCCCCCGACAGTTCAGTCAAACGCGGGAGGATAAAGCCAGGATGATTATATTTCACAATTGGAATCTATCAGCAACACGTTACGAAAACGATAAACGTCAGCTGCAAGTGGGCGATGTGGCTTGCATTGTGGCCGTATACCTCATACAATACAACCAGGATGGTTATATCCTATTGGGATCTACCAGTAATATATTACGAAATTGATACAACGTCAGCCGCAAGTAGGTGACGTGGCTTGCATTCCCCTCCATCAGCGGCAAACGCCGGCCATTTATTGGATAGTCACGCATCAATCTTTGGCTCAAGTGACTTTTGCATTCGAGTTTCAACCGGATGTGATGAGGGATTTACGAGAGCATACCCAAATCATCACAACGCCTTTACCGAAGCTGACGTGTTGCCAGGGTCTCCCACGAGCGCACGCAGCTGAGCGTTAATTCCGCCCAGCCTTGCCGCGGCAGTGCGCACTTTGTCTCCATCAGTGATGTGTGTGTCTCGTAGACCGTTTCCGCCGACTACATTCAGAAACTATTCATCAGCCTTCTACTAGAGCCAACACGAAGAGAACTATTACAGAATGCCATCAAGGCGAGCCCTCATCATTGCCAGTCCGTTTGAAGGGCTTCGCGGGACGCTCAACGACGCAAAGGACATGGCAGGGGCGCTCCAAAACCACGGGTTCGACATTACCGAGTGCTACAGCTCGAGTGCGACTCGATCTGGCATCCTGGAAGCATGGAAGCAACTCATAGCTGCAACTCGTCGAGGGGACTCGGTCGTCATCTACTACTCTGGCCACGGCGGGATAGTCCAAGCGCCCGAAAAAGACAAGAGCACGCAGGAAAAGGGGGCTAGATGGCGTTGCCAGTTCCTTGTGCCAGTCGACTACGACCAGACAACGGATGACGACTTTCGCGGGATCCTGGATGTCGAGATATCATACATGCTTCGGGACACGACCAACAAGACGCCAAACGTGACCATCATCCTCGACTGCTGCCACTCCGGGAGGCTCTTCCGCGCTCCGGGCTATGGAGACCAGGCCCGGCCAAAGAACCTGCTTGATGTACAGTACCACAGCACAGTCGAGCATCTGACCCGTCTCCGCGATGCAGGTCACTTTCGCCGCGAAGCAGATGATGTGCATGGCGAGACAACCTTCAGCGGCAACCCACACGCTGTGCGAATCGCGGCGGCAGCGAGTCCAGAGACGGCCTGGGAGTACCTGAACAGCCGCGGCAAATGGACCGGCGCGCTCACAGAGGCACTGGTGCGAGTGCTGGATGAGAGTCGGGCCCAGGAGGTGTCGTGGAGGACAATCCTCTTCCGAGTGCGCCATCTAGTCGGCTCCAAGTTCCGCGAGCAGCACCCGCAGGCCGAAGGGCCCGAGACGCGAGCTCTCTTCTCCATGAACCATGTCCTGTCCGGCGCGTTGCACCTGAAATTCATCAATGCGCTTGCTGTCCTCGACGGCGGTAGCGTCGTTGGAGTCCGCAAGGGAAACGTATACTTGATCCTTCCTTTTGACTCCCAGGCGTCGGTTGGGGAGCAGGCGCCCGAAGCAACGGTGACGGCGGTTGCGGCATTCAAGGCCAAGGTTGAACTGACGTCCATGCCAGCTTGGGCCGGTGTAGAACAGGACGGCGCGCTGGCCATCTTGAAGCACGAAGCTGTTGGCCCAAAGTTGGTTGCGGCTGTGCCTCTGGATCTGCCCGGTCTCTGCGAGGCAGTGAGCAGGTCGAGATATCTTTGCTGTCGTGCGGCGGATCAAGTTGAGCCCGCTTCACTCGAGTTCCGGCAAACGGCACACTCGATTGCTCTTCGAAACTCTTGGGGCATTCAGCTGGGCTCGCGCCCCATCAACGAAGCCCACGGGGAAGCCGCCGAGTCATTCAGTGACATTGTTGCTGTGGCTGAGCAGTTTGCCAGAGCGCAGCGTGTGCTGGACTTGCAGTGTCAACGGGACGCAGATCGACTAGAGCACATGGTAGCAATCGAGATTGGTGTTGTCGTCAATGGACAGCCAAACAGACAGTTCCAGAAACAAGGCAACGATCATGTCGAGGAACAAGAGCGTATCTACATTCACCTGCGCAACGATGGCAGGGCTACAGTCTACATCTCCATCTTCGACATCAACGTGGCCCGCCGCGTTTCACTGCTCAATCCAGATGAACCTTGGGGTATTGAGCTGCCAGCAGGACGTCCTCGCATACTCGGAAGTGATGATTTCGGAGAACTGGAAGGTCTTGGTGTTTCCTGGCCCGCCCAAGTTCCAAAGCACTCGCCGATCGAGGAGCGGTTTCTCTTTGTCCTATCGAGTTCGCCGGTTGATCTGCGCTATTTGGCTGAATCGGTCAACTATGATCTCGCCATAAAGCGTGACACAAGCGCTGCCACCACGGCAGTCTCCATTCAATACGACATTGTGCACATCCCTTTCACTGTTCGTCCCCTCGGATTCGTCGGGGATATGCCTTATGACTTTCAACGCCTCCCTCCTCCTCAGTCCGCCAACCCAGCACATCGTGAGATGGAACCTGCAAGCGTTGCCGAAGATAAATCTGCTATTTCGGCCCAGGAGCTTCCGGATCCCCAATCTGTGTCAGAGGGCAAGAGTCTTCCCGCCTACCCACCGATTGTCGCTTCAAAGGTGAGACCAGTCGAATCCCTCCTGGCTCCTTCTTCTCTTGCTGATACTCTCTCATCTAAAGGGAATCATTGGCGGGATCCTCCGGGCATCTATCCCGGCCTGCGTCTGGGTAGTCAACGGACACGACGAGGAAATCACCGTCGTCGTCTCCAAATATCGGCCCAATCGGATGCTGGCAGGCATATCACTCAACGCCTCTGCCACTGGCGGCGGCCTCGACTTCAGCACGACGGTATGTTGCTTTTCGTGATCATCCTGGCCGTATCCTCCAGCGTTTGAATGAATTGTCGGGGGCATCGGTTTAGTATCGTGAGGGCTAACCAATATTACTCAACAGACCTTTTGTAGTCGAGCGACGAGAAAGACCCTCGCGCCTCGAGATCAGAGCCCAGCAAGTTCCAGGGCCGTCTTTCCCCTCTGGACACGAAAGGAGGGCTTCGGGGTCATCACCATCTTCAGAGGACCGGAAAAGACGCTCTATATCGAGAATGACCACATCCCTTTGGGCGCAACGGCATATTTCATAAATACACCAGACCTCAAGTTGGTCCCATACGGCTCCGACGAACAGGTGGAGTAGACTGAAGACTGGGTTGGTACCTCCTCTTCCATTCCACACCTGGTCTCAGAGATTGACGGGTTGAATTCAGGAGACTGAATGTCCCATCGACCCAGGGCTTACAGAAACCGACATGGCTTCTTTTCTGCCAGCTCCGACCTCTCTTTTTTTTTTTGTTAGCGAGCTGAATATGTTATGAAATTAGCGTCGAGTAGGAAGACTAAAGAAATTTAACCTCTAAATTTTCTATATTACTTATATTAATCTTTCTAAAAGTAATAGAAAAGTAGAATTATAAAAGTATAATATAGTAAAAGAAAATTAATAATATATTAAAGAAATATTTTAAAATCTTAAAAAGAAATATAAAAATAATAAAATAAGCTTAAAATATAAACTTTTAATAATATATGAATAAATCTTTTATTATAAAAGATTTCTTTAAAAAATTAGGCTAGGATGTTTATATCTCCCTTAATAAGATTATATCTTTATATATTTCCCTTATCTCCTTATCAACTGATCTTCTGAGGGATAGTCAATCTAATTTCTTAAAAACTATCTATACTTGAATAAAAAATCATACCTACTTAAGCTACAGGACAATAAAAGCAAAGAGTGGCAAGGAAATAGGCCGTAGTGATTGTATCCTGCTCGATACACTTAAGCTATTCATCTGTATCCATATAATAACTGCTTGTATCCTCGTCGTCCTCGCCATCTCCATCATACTCGTCCTCTGGAGAGCCCACTGTCATTTCACCACCTTGTTCTGGTCCGCTCTGGGAACCGTACCACCTGGCCAAGGCCAACAACTGGCAGAGCGAGCTTGTTCTCCCTTCAGGTGTCTGCAAGTTGAACCACGGCGTGCTCTGCACATAAACAAAGGTATCTTTATCCTTATCACTGATGATATACCATCTCAGCTGAGGATGATGGGGGCATTTGCCTCATGCGACGGCTTGGCTCCGGATGGGAAATGGGTCATCCTTATTTTACTCTCCTCGAAGCAAAAAGGGCGCCCAGAAACACTTACTTTGATGAGAAAAGAGAAGCGCCGAAAGCGTTTTTCATCTGCAGAATTTATAAGATCAATAAATTATAAACAGAAAACATATAGACATACGATCGGACCTATCGACATGCTATCAAGTCTATCGACATGCTATCAAACTTATCGACATGCTACCAAACTTATCGACATGCTATCAAATTTATCGACATGCTATCAAGTCTATCGACATGCTACCAAACTTATCGACATGCTACCAAACCTATCGACATGTAACCACACCCATAGACATTTAATCAATCTCCCAGTCATACCATCAAGCATGTCGCCATGCGATTCATCACGTAGACGTGTGTCCAAGCTTGGAGATATATGATAGCAACTCGGCAAATTCCGTAACAGGAACGACTAATTTCTATTTTCTTGCCTTTTCTGACTACGCTCTCTTGGAGCTCACGATGGCTTATGTCAATTTCTCAAAGCCGTGCGATCATATGGAGACAGATGCTGTGACTAAGGGTCTGGAAGCTGTGCTGAATGATGTCGGACATGATTACGATGGAAGGAATGTTGCAGGCGGTGAGCAATAACGACCCCGAGGGACAAAAATGCTAGACATGAGCCGGCCACGGTGGCCTTGGACACGACGGAACGACCGATAATCATGGCCACAAGCCCCCAGGAGGGAAAAAGAAGGGGATATATGGAGCAAGTCTAGGAAGTGTCAGATAGGTTCTCGCTCGCTCTTTGCTCAAGGTTGATTCTTTATTCGTAGATCAAGCGACTCGGCGTTCATACCCAGGTTGACTATAGCATATTTAATCATTGGAATTACCCTTCTATTCATATTTGATATTTTAGTTTCTCAACCTGAGTCAATCTTCATCCGTGCCGCTATTGTTGACTTCCTCTAATGTAGTTTCCTAATGTAGTTTCCATGGGAGCTCCGGATATGGCAGGGGAAAGCCTTAAATGATCACCTGAACTTGAATTTGTCTCTATTGCTATAAAACAGCCCTTGGGCGTGTGGACTGCTTATCCAGCACGATGGAACTTCTTGTTGGCCACTCCTGTTTCAGCTTCGATTAGAGCTTGACCAACCTCGGAAAGAGGAAATGTGGGGGAGAAGGCGGTAATTTTTCCGCATATAATTATCTCAAAGAATACGATGGGTGAAGCGAGGTATTGGCTAATGCAATGGAGTAACGATATGCCGCTATACGGTCCAGCTTGCCTAGCGGTCGTTGTTTCACAAGAGTGGACTAGTAATCCTTGTCCTTGCCCCAGGTTGTATCTTTTCGGCCATTGCCGCATGCGATGATGAATGGTGTGCTTATTAGCTTCCTGGGAAGTTAATGAAGATATTTGTTCCAAAGAACTATGGATACTTTTATTAAGAAGGAAAGGAATCTTTCTGCTCCGCCAGGCACTATCGTCAGTTTACCCTGTATTTCAAGCAATAAGTGTAGTATACAGGCGTTTCCGGGGAATCCAAGGCATCAACGGACGTGTCTTACTTAGCATAATCGACCTCCAATCCATAAATAAAACACATTGCTCCCTCGCTCACACATCTCCGCCCAATCACAGCGTGTACGCAACATGTGTCTCACATACCCTCTACCATTCCCTCTGTCGCTTGGGAAGCTAACATGACCGAACTTATCAATAAGTTGAGGGTCCTGCAGTGTAAATATCAGTTGTGCTGTCTGGTTCATCTCCGCATCACCTGAGTTGGGTTGTGTCGGCTGACGATGGTGATGCAAGCCCGTGGACTTATCGATCAAAGTTATTGCACGTGACTAGAGCTGGAGAATGTTGATAGCGAGTCGATGAAGTGCTATGCGAAACTATTGATTGAAGACTATTCAAGGCAATTAAATATCGTGCTAGCGCCGCGAAAGACTCGGGACTCTCCTGCAAGATGTAATATAGGGAAACAGCCTTTTGGTTCCTTAGCCATAATACTAACTTAATGAGTAATATGATCGTCCGGGCCAAAGCCTACCTTTTATAATAATAATCTTCGTTGCATAAGGTGTAGAATTAAGCAACCTATGTCGGCATCCAATGTAGTTGCAAGCAATCTATCGAAATATTAATGTTCTTCGAACCCTCGCTAGATCACGATGTTCCAAGAGAAGCCCAGCACTCGGCTGTGGTACTGGGGTTTCGAGTCTCCACCTCGCAGCCCGGTCAAGGTGGATTCGAGAAACCAAGAAGCGGAAGATCCTCGGCGGTATAGCTAGGCACCCCTCATCCCAATATGTTCGCCAGCACACTTCAATCGGATCACCACGTGGACGATTGGGTTCAGTGCGATCTTTGTGCGTGACAGACCACTTCACCATGCCAGTCTTCGGCAAGAAGGACCCGATTGACAAGAAGGGTCTGTACGAGAAAATTCGCGGGCCATCCCAGGAGGAAATTGTGAACGCTGTGGGGGAGCATGTGCGTGCTTTTTTTTTTTTTGTTCTGTGTTTCTGTCGGTTCATCTCTGTTAGCAGAGAAAGTGTAATGCTCACAGATGTTCATTAGTTTCTCCTCAAAAATGGGCGATACATAGAAACTCCTGACTCCGATCGGAAGGAGTCAATTCAAACGCCGTGTGTCGTCTTTCTGATTGTCGGAAAATTCGATGTCGGCCAAGAGACGTGCGACGAGAGATTCAAAGGTTACACCATTACCGATGAGAGTGTCATTAAGCTCTTTGCCCATTCTGCCGTCGTCATCATGCCGATGACTTAGACGGACTAGCTGATAGGGGAGTCGTTGCCCAAGCTAGAATAACACAGAGCCCTGTCCCAATGACTTGGGGACCAGGTTTGCAAGAATGATGGCGGTTGATTGAGTGTTTGCTCGGAGACATCGTCTACCTCCAACACGGGGATATCCCCCGCCAGGCCGCGCGTAAACCAACCCGGCTGACAATAAGCATCATTGGTTCGGCACTCGCCTTCAGAAGAGGCCATGTTGGAATCTTGCCAAGGGGTCGGAAATAGATTCTCGGGTTGGGAGTCAAGCTCGGCACGGTTGACTCGTTCGGCATGTATTTGGTTTTGTTGGTTGGGAAGGACGCTCTCTGCCATGGGGGCTAAAGTTGAAGACATTGAAATGGGGCTCGGATATCTTGAGGGCTCAGACCTACTTGGGTCAGGACGGCATGTCAGGGCCATTCTCATGCGCTTCACAGGCCTATCTTCCGTTTTTGCTGTGATGCTGTTTGATGGCGGCTGATAAATCAAAACAGAAGAGCCGCGCTCGAATTGGGTTATCGTATCTTGCACGTACTCTCCAATCCCCGTAATAATGAGATTATGTCGATCAGGCTGGGCTTTGACGAACTTGGGAAGTCCAGTGATAAGAGCATCAAAGGATGCCTTCTCTAAGCCACGTATTTGAGTGACTTGCAAAGAAAACAAACATAGAGCCATCGAACCAAAATCTAGTCCCCGAAGCGTCCGTTGTCGACGTTTGATCTCGACGTCGTCCTCCTTTTGGTACAGGAACTTAGCCGTTTGCCGGATACGGCGATACTTGTGGTGGCGATTGGGATCAGTGGAAATAATTTGGAGCGCCTTAGACAGACGTTGAAGAATCAGCCTTTGTTCCTTTAGAAGCTTGATTGTGCGTTCATATTCCGCAATGATGATTTCTAGTTGTGCAACGTGGTCCTCGGCGATGAAATTGGTCTTGGTTGCGTCCGACATGGTGAAGATGAATGCTTAAAGTGTGAGAGAGGAGAGGCGTGCTCGCAATATTGAGGAATGAGAGCAGGCATACCTATTAAGGTAAGTTCGCTCGTAAGATAGGGGGAAGGCAAGCGAAAGTACTAGATCTGGTTAGAGCTCTACGTAGATAGTGGGGCCGGTTGAAGTTCGCGGAATTCCGACATCAGGTGGCTATTGTCGATGCTTACTCGAAATGGAAATCTCGCTCGTGAAATTAGAGAAAGAAAGCAGAGTTACCGTATATGGAAAAGCGAACCCACTCTCGGACATGGGAAACTCCAGGCCGACAAGGATCTTCTCCTGCATTGGGCCAACAAACACCAATATCTGTACCGTGCCAACGGGAGAAGCGTGATTGCAACGCTAAGTTGATGGCAACCCTTGTGACGTTGTCTACGGCTGAAATGCAAGGGGTTTCAGATGGCGCTATCCGTAAATGAAGCAAGCGTTGGCTGCGAGCCAAAGAGAGTGTAAAAGAATCCAAGGCGCCGCGAGGTAGTCGATTGCTTTGCTGCCTTCCAAGCTTGCTGCAACGTTTTTTTGATTGATGTGCGCATTCCATCACTACTCTCGAATTTTTCCGTATGTCAGCAGCCGCCGAGGTCGGAGTCGACGACCATGACAATGAATCAGGATATGGCGATGAGGGTTCAACGACAAGCTGTTCAATTGAGAGCTATGTATACAGATACGAGGAGAAATATGGGCGAACGTATCACAATTATAACCCAGGGTCATACATCTATCCCAACGATGAGAGGGAGCAAGATCGTCTCGACTTGGTCCACCATATTTGCACGCTCAGGCTCGACGGTCGTCTTTTTCTCGCACCCATCGAATCCGATAAGCGTAGTCTGGACGTCCTCGACATTGGCACTGGAACCGGCATATGGGCCATTGATTTTGGAGATGAGTATCCCGGTGCCTCCGTCTTTGGCGTCGATCTCAGTCCCATTCAGCCGGTTTTTGTACCGCCGAACGTGCGTTTCCACGTTGACGATGTTGAACAAGACTGGAAGGGTTCGAACTATGATTTCATCCATTGCCGCTACATGGCTGGCTCCATCGCCGACTGGCCGGCGTTGGTTGGCCGAATCTATAGTCATTTAAAGCCGGGTGGTTGGGCGGAGCTTCAGGAAACCATCAACACACTTTACTCAGAGGACGACAGTCTAAAAGCCGACAATGCACTCGTCCGATTGATGGACAACCTGAAGATGGCCCATGCCAAAATTGGCCGCATACTGGATCCTGCTCCTAGCTTTAAGATATGGCTGGAGCGGGCCGGTTTCCACCACGTTAAGGTGCAGAAATTCAAGCTTCCAGTAGGTATGTGGCCTAAGGACGAACGACTAAAGGATATCGGGGCCTGCATGGCCCAAAACTTCGTTGATGGTGTTGATGCCTTCACAGCTAAGCCTTTTAGGGACACTCTTGGTTGGCCAGCGGAGCAGGTGGAGGTTCTGAATATGTTAGTCCGACGTGCCGCAAGAAATAAGAGTGTCCACGCTGTCTTTGACTTCGTTGTGGTTACAGCGCAGAAACCATACACAACAACGCATTCCTAGCTGGTTTGTATTCAGACACAGAGCAGTAAGGAAACGCAAATGTACTCATAGAGACACTCAAGCTATTCATCTGTATCCATATAATCACTGCTTGTAACCTCATCGCTCTCGCCATCTCCATCATGCTCGTCCTGCCATTTCACCACCTTGTTCTGGTCTGCTTTGGAAGTCGTATCACCTGGCCAAGGCCAACAACTGGCAGAGCGAGCTTGTTCTCCCTGCAGGTGTCTGCAAGTTAAACCACGGCGTGCCCTGCAAATGAACAAACGTACCTTTATCCTCATCACCGATGATATCCCTTTGCTCAGCTTCGTCCATGGCATCCAGATACTCCAGGTAGTCTTTGCCAAAGCTCGAATGGAGAAAGTGCACAAAGGTATTTGATGCGGCTATCATAAACACACTGTAGAAATTACTGTGTCATATAAGCACGCGCGCATAGGAAGCCAGTCAGAGAATTATTTCGTACCCGTTCTGTAGCACGTCCATATTCGCCTTCCATGTGACGATTGCTTCACCAAGCCACTGGGCCAAATTCTCATTCAGTATAAGGGGCACATGTTCTTCTCTTTTCTCGTCAAAGTAAGTGTTCCTAGGCGCCCTCTTTGCTTCAAAAAGAGCACAATAAGGGTGACCCATCTCCCATCCGGAGCCAAGCCGTCGCATAAGGCAAATGCCCCCATCATCCTCGGCTGAGATGGTAATCGCGTCTCCGCCAATTGTCGCTCTTGTGAACATGCGCCTTGCCCTTGGCCGTAGCTCATACTGGCCCGTGGCTTGCACAAGACAAATATTCAAGGCATGTTGGAGGAAGGACAAGACGAGACGCACCGTCATTTCTTCCGAATTGGTCCGCCGCTCCAGATGCCAGTCCTCATGCACAGGGTTAGAGTCTGCCTCATACTCAGAAGAGGAGTGCCCTGTAGGCGAGGAAGATCCATCAATCGCGATGGCACTGCTAATATAGCCCTCCCTCTCATGCTGCTTCCGCTCTCGCTGGGGATGCTCGCGGGCTTGCTCGACCAGTTCCGGGCGGGCGGCCTCTGCCAGGGCAACCCAGAAGAAGCCGTGCTGCAGCATTAAAATTTCGCCTTCACTCATCTGAAGGAGTTTACCTGGGCTTCTGCTTGTGAGCGCCTTGGTCATAACCTCGTTGAGGACCCCGGTGGAGAGACTGTGATCTTGATCTAGAGCGGGGTTGCACACAGGACATGGGTCCGTATGGCTTGAATCGAGGATCGGGAGTATAGTTGCATCCTGCTGAACAAGGAGCCTGAAGATAATGAGATGAGTGTAATTCCACTTGCTGGCAGAGCGTGCGATTTGTTGGCATTGCCAAATGACTTGTTTGTCTCCGTGCTGACGCGATAGTTCCTGGAGTTCTCGAGGAGTTCGCGGTGCATACGGCTGGTGTTCCATGATGCTCACTCACTAACATATAAGTTAATAGCTATACTAAAGGAGAAAGAATAATAATGACTGATCAGCTATCACATAAAGCTGCCTCGGCCTTAATGTTGGCATTGGGCTGTATGCGCCTGTCGCAAAGTGTGGCGTTCAAAGTGTGGCGTTCATGTCTGGTGTTGTGGCTGGACAGGAGACCGGCCCCCTACGGGGCCCGCCAGCAGGCCTTTCGGAACGAGACTTTCTGGATTACGGAAAGAGAGTTGTTGAAACCAAGATGACGATTGTGAGACGACTATTTTATGAAGAGATGTAAAGAGAACATATTCAAGAGAAAATAATTCAAGAGACGCTGTCGCGTATCAAATTTTGATTGGGAATAGCATTAATAACCATCTAGTGGATGTGATGTGGCTGGATCTTTGATCTCATTGGTGAAAGACAACAGAGCAGGTATGGGTTGACAAAGACGGCGAGGAAGACCACGATGATTAGCGGAAATCAGGTCATAGGATGAATTATAGGAAGATGTCTGTGTTTAATCTCATCGTTACCATTGTCCGGTATCAGGGCCTTCGTAGGCGCGTTTCGTTTCTGCGGCGAGATCTGAGAGTCTTTGCATCGCTTCGACGATGGAATGGTCCATTTTGTTCCCGATAAAATCCTGACTACGCACGGGACTGAGGAGCTTGATGCCATCCAGTGTCCTGCACCTCGATAGCTGCACATAGAGGCTGGTGAAGTCGCACTTAGATGGCTCGCCATTGATGACACGATTCCCTCGCAGCTCAAGAAGAACTTCCGCGAACGTCTTACTTTGAGCCTTATAATCCGTGAGTACAAATGCGGGTACAACAGGCAGGCCGCGGCGGGCGCACTTTGCAGGCAGAAACCTATAATTGCGGTTAGTCGGATCGAGGGTCTGCGACACCGAGCGGACAAGCACCGTCCCCGGCGGAAGGGTTGGTATGGATAGGCTCTTGATGTCCTTCGAATGTAAAAGTATGCCGAGTGGTGGTCCGAAGTGGATTGTCACATCATCGGCCAGGTGGAAACCTGGGTATCTCGGATCAGGCGCGAAATCATAGGTGGTAAACTCAGCCCCGTTGACGATCTTGAGTCCGGTGTAAATATTTTGATTTACAACCACGGGCATGTCTTGGGCGTAGAAGAATACACCGGGAACTTTGCAGCTGGAGTCGTCTCCTAGTTCGATAGTCCTTGCCATCTGGTCTTCTGAGAGAGAGCCACCTCGCCAGGTATGCGCGGAGATGAAGATGGAAATATGTCTCTTGTGAGACCGAGCCCAGTCAACGACGGCCTCCATGTTAAGTGACCAGCGGTTTCGGTTCAGCGGCGTTATGGCACGTAATCCCGTACTGAAGCTGACTTGGTCTCGACGGACAAGTTTTGAGTTGAGCATGAGAAGGTCTTGATGTGTCTGAACCCCAGCCCGTATTCTATCGAGCAGGGCACCTAGGCGAGGATCATCCCGTGCACGAACCTGTTCTTTGAGAAGGACCACTGTCTTGAACATCTGCCACAAGCCGAAGCCACGGTGGTGCGAGATGATTCCTTGTCCCAATAGCGTTGTAGAAGGGTCTATCATTTTATTGACCAGGAGACTCGTCTCACGAACTGGAGCGAACTGGTAGAAGTCCCCCATCAGGAGCACTACTGGAATCCCTCCAAATGGCTTATCGGCGGTGTCCCGGAGTGACTGGAGATTGCGGCTGACCTCGTACAAAGTGGCGCCTCCAAGCATGCTCACTTCATCGACCACGAGAACTAACTTCTGTTTCCACGTCCATTTCTTCGCTTCGGAGAAAATCGGGAGTTGTGCTTGGGAGGAGCGATGAGTTTCCAGCCCACAAGCGGAATGTAGGGTTGTGCCGCCGATCTGGGCCGCCGCGCTTCCCGAGGTGCCGGTGATCTGAAGAAGATGTGATTGGCCCTTCGTCGAGAATACCCATTTCAGGGCGTCGATAACTCTGGACTTGCCGGTTCCTCCAGGACCTCCGGTGTACTGAAGATGCTGGCCGGCAGACTCAGGGTCAGCAGCGTATCGATCTAAGAATTTGCACACAAGTTGAAGGGCCATTGTCTGGAGGGGGTTGAGGGTAAACGACAATGCGGCAGCGCGTCCCACTTCCGAAAAGCCTGTTGTATGATTGACGTCGACCGCCATCCGAGGGCCATAGTTGACCAACCCTAGACACCGAGTTGGAATGGGAACGTCTGCGTCACAGTGGCGAACAAGTATATCATCCAAGTCCTCGGTTCCCATCGTGCCTGGCGCCGATTGAGGACCACTCTCGATTTCATCGAGCATGCGGAGATGCAGCATACCTTGGGCCTTTGCCGCTGCTTGCACATCTTCGTAAGAGAGAGCTGGATACTGGAATAGTGAGCTTTTCTGGGAACGGCAAATTTGGTCATAGAAACCCCGGGGACGCTGCACAAAGGACCATTGCTCCTCTGCTGGGTTTTCATGACGCAGGTCCCGGAGCAAGGCTTGCAGTACCGGCGAGCGTCTCGTTGCTGCCGAGTCTGCTACAGCATTTTGCAGGATGTGGAGGAGCGCGGTGTAATTCTGTTTATGCTCAGCTGTTGTCGAAGATTCTTCAGCATGGTTGCCCTCGTCAAGTGGGAACTCCGTGTCGACTGTGTCATCACCTTCCGACCGGCTTGCCCAGAGCTTTGCGTCCTTGCGCGCATCCTCTGCCGATTTTCTCAGAAGAGAGATATTGGAGACGTGGGATCGCAATCGCGGTGGGAGTGCGGCAACGTGGTTTGTCCAAATGTCCGTAATGTCTCCATCGGCCTTGGCAAGGAAGTCTTCCCATGGCACGAATAGAGCCAGGTGGAGAGTAGAGTTCCTAGGCAGATTAGTACCGGCTGCGAATCATCATGTTTGGATGTCCGGGGGACGCTTACCGCCTGAAGTAGACCGGGTGCTCGTCGTTGTGATCATCGCTGATATATCCTTGGAAGATGGGTACCGTATATTCAGGAGGCCCCCGGAGCTTCTGTAACCAACCATCTGGCTCCGGAAGGAGGCCGTCGAGAGAGATGTGGGCTTCATCCTCTTCTCGACCACGGCAACGCTCGAGGCTAACCATAGACATGTAATCATATAGGCATAGACTTCTCAGTATTGGACCCCGGCGGGCGTAGGCATCCAAGTACAGTAATGTCCTGCCGCTGTCTCTGAGGCCGATGGTCTCAGGTGGGTCGTCTACGTCGGCGTGTTCTCTAGACAGGCTACGTAGATGCCGCCATCGTCTGAATATGGACCAGTACAGGGCGGTCAAGTTTATGAAAGACCACTGGGGCACGTTGGTAAAGTCCGTGTGGTAACCGAGCAGGTGATAACAGACCTCCACTGACGAGAGCTGCCTCTCTGAGAATATTCGGTTTGCCGCCCTCATCAGAAACTGGCGGGTCTGGTTGAGAACGGTCGGGTGTTGAATACCAGGGCCAGAACTTGGCGTCTGATACGGGCCATCCGCCGACTGGTATAGCTGTCCCAAAACTTCGCCTGCAATGGCAATGCGTTTCCACATCGGCGTATCTAGCTTAGTGGCATAATTTGTGATGTAAAAGACCATTGCGAGCCCCTTGGTTCTTGTCAAGATCAACGAGATGTCATGATTGTGGCGGAGCCCGACCGCCATTGCCTTGTTATGTCGGTTAACCAAGGCGTGGTTGCGTCGGATCCTAAGCAGGCCGTCCTCTACGAAGCCCGTCTCCTCGACGATCTTCCAGGGGGCTTTGAATCGGCATGCGGTACGCTTATGTGCATCTGTGTCCTGGCTAGATAGGCCCTTCAGAGAATACTTGATGCAGGTAAATGTGTGGGAGTGTACCTGGCTACAGTATGCAATGTAATTGGCTTCGTCTTCAAAGGCCGCAGTAAGAGCCTCGGTGCTTATCATTATGTCCTTGACAGGGTCGATTGGCTTTCTCTCCTTCCGCATCGTCCTCCCAGCCTTCTCGTCTAGGCACTCGTGAAAGACGGAGTCGACGTAACGAATCACATGAGATCGGTACTCATCCTCTTGGGGATCGGCCATGCTGTCACAAAGCGATGGTAGCTCTAGATTTCCGTGGAGCCAGAACAGCCCATGCAAGTGTAGACTACCTCGATCGTTTGTTTCCACTGTAGCATAATAGTGACTGACTTTCCCGAAAACTGACTCCTTGCCGGCTTTGGCGTAGTGTTCGAAGAATAGGGAAATCTCGCGATGGAAGAAGATGACGGAGCTGACCGGATCCAGGGTGCTGAGAGCGATCTTGTCGAACCGCCCGCGAGCTTCTGCTAGGAAATCTTCCGCCACATCACGGTCATGCAGCCTGTGTACTGAGAGCTTCATCTTGACGGGGTTATTAATGTCGTTTGGGTTGATTGTGAACCAAATCGCAGGGGTGCCGGTCCAGATAATAAGTGACTGTATTTTTCTCCGCATCAGCAGGCGAGTCTCATTCGATAGAGGCTGGGCATAACCAAATATGGATAGCTCGCGCAGTAGAAACGATACATCTTTATCTGTCGTCACTTTGTCCCGGCGCATCTCGACCTCGGCCAATCTCAGCTGTTCTGCTGTCAGGGTCTGACAGACCTGCTCGGCTCGATTGAAAGAGCCCTTCGCCATGCGGACCATGCTTATGCGGCGGTTGGATGATCGGAGAAGAATGTTAAAAACAAGAAAACTGAACACCGGATGCGTGGCAAACCGACCACCGTGTCGCTGGAGTACATACTTGGCCCAGTATGTGAGCGAGTGGTTTAGGGTAGGATTTCCGACGTTTTCTGACGTATATTGCTGACGATGTCCCGTGCTGCGTGTTGCTTTAGGTCCTCCTCTTCCCCACGGGAAAAGCCTAGGGAATGTCCTGGGAAAGAAGTCCTCGTGCAGGTTGTCGGCGAAATCGGAGCCCCGCTCCACGCGTATGAATGGCTGTTCTCCCGCGGTATCTATATTCATTCCACCCAAATGGACATCTCTGTCGGA